TTTGGCACAGGTTCTGTGTGGAAGCATTGTGCAGCTTTTATATGGATTTTGTTTTTAGCCTTTGATGACACTGTTTAGAATAGGAAGTATCTAATAAGTAAAGCATTTTGTCTCAAGTGCTGCCAGTGTGTTTAATATATGCCTGGAGGTCTGAAACATTATCTTCTTCACTACACTAATATGCATTTAATTCTCTGAAAGCAGAAGGTCGAACTTTTAAAAGGGACGCAAAGTACATTTTCAAACAGAATAATTTAAAACATATGGAAGGGGGGACCAGAGTAATGTACAGTTGGTTTTTATGGTTTAATCATGATCATGTTAATGCACACCAGTAGCTAATTAACGAAAGCTTTTATTGTTCATTTTAAATGAGTTAGGTAAAGAATAGGAGAGCTGATGTAACAGCTCTGCCCAGAGATACATGTTTCTGTTGCATTCACTAACAGCAAGCAAATATTGCTATTTTTGACAACTTAAATTATTAGTCCCCTTGGACAATAATAAAGCAAAAGTTATTTTCAGAGTTATTACATTGTGAACTTTTCTTTCCACAAAGGAATAGTAAATTGATGCCGAAGTTTAGGGCTTAGCACACATAATTAATTATAAAACTTTTCTCAATAGCAGGCCAGATACTCTTCAATATAATAGATAAATCTGCAGTAGACTGGTGACAAATCAATGGGTTTTTAAGTACATCTCAGAAATCACCAGCTTATTTATTTCAGTTCTACAAATAGTGTGGAAGCTTAGAAAAATGGAAGAAATGTTGGCTTTTAACATGGCTTTTAGAATTTAGTTTTCTAGTCCGGGGAAAGTTGTATTTTTTTTTCCTTTCAGTAAGAGTCAGAGTCTTTCATCTCTGGGTCATTGGTTCAAATTCCATTATGCTCAATAGTGACTAGAATTAGTTACCATCTGACTTCTGTTCAGTAACCCGCATGACCTGAGCTCATAGCTGCCGTCCTGCCCCTGCTGGTTATTTATTTCTCAAGATCAGGCCACTTGACATTCGCTAGAGTCTAATGTGGCAATCTCAACACAGAATAGGGCTGGACACTACATTTCTTTATCTTTACCTACAGGTGATTGGTTTTGTCATGTTAACACTGATGGGGAACACTTAACTCACTTTAAAGGAGAGGCTACCTTTTAAATACAAATCTGTAAATTGGAAGAAAATCTAATGCTCTGTGCATAGAAAGTATAGTCTCATATGGTTAATTGGGGTTGCCTCTATGGATAGAGAGAATAAAAGTAGTTGAGTTCTTGATTTGAGTTTGCCATGGAACTCAACCAAAAGGATTTTTTTTCGTTGTGCTATATACAGATATTTAGTTTGTAATGCCTCAAAATGTGGGCAATAAATCCTAGACTACTTATGTACTTGACTGTATTATTTTTTCACATATTATTTGAGAATTCTTAATTGGTGATGGATTTGGAGGTATGGTTGAAATTTTTATAACAGGAATACCTAAAGGCTTTAACATTAAACTGTCGTTTTGAGAATTACCTTAATTATTTTTATTTTGCTGAATTTTTAAATTAAATATATTTATTTCTTTATTCGGTCAGCACACAGTTATTAAGATCTACTATGTAACAAGCAGTATAATATGTGCTAGGAATACTAATGGCATTCCCTCTTACCATAGCCTACTAGCTGTCTGACCTTGGACCTATTATTTAATCTCTTTAAGCTTCAGTTTCCTCAGCTGTAAAATGGAGATAACAGTACTCCCTTAAAGAATTGTCACACTTGGTAAAGAAAATGTATGTACTATGCTAACAATGTTTGGCAAATAATAAACATACTCAGTGGTATCGTATTTTTTTATCTTCAGTTGCTCGCAATCTCTGAGACAGAGCACAGTGTGAAAAGTGCTATAATAATATGAGTTTGTTATAAAAGCACAGAAGCTGGAGAGACTAGCACCATCCTGGAAGGGCTGAGGAAGTCTTCACAAAGGAGATGACTTCTTTTTTTTTAACAATTTTTTTTTTAATTTTTATAATTTTATTTTTTCCCCCAAAGCCCCAGTAGATAGGTGCATGTCATAGCTGCACATCCTTCTAGTTGCTGTATGTGGGACGCGGCCTCAGCATGGCCAGAGAAGTGGTGCATCGGTGCGCACCCGGGATCCGAACCCCGGGCCACCAGCAGCGGAGCACGCGCACTCAACTGCTAAGCCACGAGGCCGGCCCGTGACTTCTTTTTTTAACTTACCCTTTGTTGAGTGCCTACTGTGTGTGTTCAATACGTTACCTCATTTAATGTTGCAGCAACTCTGTGGGTTGAGTATTAAAGTCCCCAGTGTGAGAGTGAGGACCCAGCAGAGACTGAGGGGATTGCTTGAAGTATGATCAGCCCACAAGGTGGAGAATGCAGATCAGGAAAAAGCCCATGAATATGTCTGGAAAGACCTTTAAGAGTACAGTACACGGGGAAATCTGTGCCCATATATATTTACATATTAACAATCATGTATTTCTAGTCTGCAGAGCAATTTTTTTCATTTAATATTGTATCAGAAGCTAACATATCATCAAACATTTATGGATCCTCTCTTCAGCGTGCCAGACACTGCACTACTCTTTTTTTTTTTTTTTTTTTAAAGATTTTATTTATTTATTTTTCCCCCAAAGCCCCAGTAGATAGTTGTATGTCATAGCTGTACATCCTTCTAGTTGCTGTATGTGGGACGCGGCCTCAGCATGGCCAGAGAAGTGGTGTGTTGGTGGCGCCCGGGATCCGAACCCAGGCGGCCAGCAGCAGAGCGCGCACACTTAACCGCTAAGCCACGGGGCCGGACCTGCACTACTCTTTAGTGATACCCAGAATCAAAATGGTATGGCCCAGTCCCTCCAGCAGTCCTTCACCTGGTAAGAGAGACAGACACATTACAGCTGCCCATTATTGGGTATTTGCTATACATCAGGCACTGCGCTGACCTCTTTAGGTACATTAGCTCATTGAATCCTCATACTAACCCTTTGAGGTTGGATTTATTATCCACATTTTACAGATGAGATTGTGTAGCCTTTAAGAGTTTTATAATTTTTCCAAAATCATACAATTAGAAAGTGTTGGACTTGACCCCATGTCGTTCTGACTCCAAAGCCTATAGATTGTTTTAACACTATCTGATACTGCCGCCACAAAACATTTTATAGAAAATAATACATCCTAAAATAGAAGTATGGGTAAAGTACTAGGATCGCCAAGAAGGAAAAGAGTCAGAGAACACTTCTCACACAAGTGTCATTTGTTCTGAGTTTTGATGGATAGCAAATGGTTGCCAGCCACAGCAAGCTCAGAAAGGGTGCTCCAGGCAGGGAAGCGGTATAGTATAGATAGAGTGGTTTAGAAGAACATGGTGTCTTCAAAAAACAGGGATAAATTGTTTTTGTTTCAAATAGCTAGTGCTGGGTTTGTCTAACAACAATGTGTCTTTGTCAAAGACCTTAAAATGGATTAACAAATATTATTTGAAAAATTTTAGACTATTACATCATTGTCTTGAATTATTTAATAATCCTTTAACATTTTCACAAGCAACTTATAATAATTTGTAGCACGTGGAAAAATACTATATTTACCAATCAAATTAAGGAAGAGCCTAAAAAAGTGATAAGCAATACCAGTACTTTGGGGAATAATTTTCCATTGCTAGTGGTAATATAAATTAGTGCAGCCTTTGTGGAAAGGAGTTGGCAATTTTTGATAACCTTAAACTTTTTCATACTATTTATCTTGTAATTTCACTTCGAAGAGCCTGTCGGAAGGAAATATTAGATGTTTGTTATAAGTGTTTGTTGGCAAAAATTGAAAATTTGAATGTCTACTTGTATGAGAATGGTTGAACTAATGCTAAGTGAAATATTATACAGCTTTTTAAGATGGCATTTATGAAGAGTATATTGGCATGTAAACAAACAGAGTTACAGATTTGTCTCTACAGTATGATTATAACCATAAAGGGATGGGAGTGGGGGGAACCTATGCACAGGTAGGGAAAGAAGACTGAAAGGAAATGCACTAGAATAATAACATTGATAATGTTTGGTGATAAGATGGGGGTCAAGAGGGTTTTGTTTTTTTTCTCGGAATTTCTTTGTTTCTTTAATGAATCGGTATTACTACCTCAATAAAAAAGCAAGTAAAATATCTAGGTCTCAAATAGCAAACTGATGGTTGGGGTACCTAAGAAGGGGGGAGACCAAAGAATCAATCGGGAGGTTTTGGAGTTATGCTGCCAAGGTGATCATAACTTCTGCTGCCATCAATTTGTCCTTTGTTCTCTACATAGGGAGTCATTGATGGGAAATTTTGAGAACTAATAATAGCCTTTAGTGCACAAAGGAAAAATCCACCTTCAAGGGCTTTAATTACTTACATTTTGCTTGGTTATTTACATGTACCCTTGTTTCAAACCTATTGTAGTAGAGGAAAATAAACATCATTTTGAATAGCATACAATTATTTTAGTTTACTTTTCTTTGTCCTTCATAATAAGGATTACTGACTTTTCCCTCTCCTTCTTACTATCCAAAAACCTGTAAATCCATTTTATAATGACAAAGGTAAACAATATAAACTACTCCTACTTAAAATATAATTTCAACCAATAGTAATCATGATTTGGAAACAGTTTATTGTACTACTTGGAAAATCACTATGAAGCTTAATACAATATAATATTAAAGAGGCATATTTTTTTTAATATACACTACCTTGTATTAGTCCAAAGAAAGAAAGTCTGACACTCAAAAGTAATTTTAAAGATAGAAATGCACATTTGATGCTTTTTCTCAAGTATTTCTTTGGCATTTTAATGTGAATAATTTTTTTGAATGGGCACCTCCTTTGTTTTTATGATTACTCTCTTACAGGTTATACTAGACCCATTTTTTAACATGTTTATATAATATCATTCACATAATAACACTTGGAATATAAATAGTTTAAAATATTTTATTATTTTTCCTTACAGATCTCTAAGCAAGAACAGAAAAAAATGGATACATTTGATGGAAGCATGGCTGAAACCTCATCTCGGTACAGTGGTGCTCAGGATAGTGGAATTGGCAGTGACAGTGTTAAAATCAGAATAGTGCAAATAGAGCAGCACAGTGGTACCAGTCAGCATCGCATTGCCCGTCCCTCACGCCAGTCATCCATTGTAAAAAATCTAAATTTTATTCCGTTTGACATATTTATTACTGCAAGTAGAATCTCGCTAATGACCTATTCCTGTACAGCCTTACCCAAATTGAAATCGCAAGAAGGGAAGGACAACGAAAAAACTGCCAAGAGTTCATTAAATCTCCCAGAAGTTGATTCAGATGTTGCTAAGCCCAGCCAAGCATGTATTTCCACGGTAACAGCAGAAGATCTCTTAAGCAGCAGCATATCTTTTCCTTCAGGGAAAAAAATAGGGGTCATCTCTCTTGAAAGTCTTCATGCATCCACAAGGTCATCTGCTAGACAAGCACTGGGTATTACTATCGTTCGGCAGCCTGGACGAAGAGGAACTGGTGACTCACAGCTAGAACCTTTTTTGTACTTTATTGTGTCCCAACCTTCTTTGCTTTTGAGTTGTCACCACAGAAAGCAGCGAGTAGAAATATCCATTTTTGATGCTGTGCTTAAAGGAGTCGCCTCTGATTACAAATGCACAGGTAAGAGCAAATTTACTGGAGTGCTAATAACTACTACTACTTATTAAATTTTATTCCCAAAGTTTCAAGATTGATCAAACAGAAAACAGCTGGCAGACCAGACAGGCCTTCTTTTCACTACAGAATATGTAAATATATAAAGTTTATGTTCCGCAGCTGAAACGTGTTTAAATGTTTGAAATGTATCAAGGTTTAGCTCTAGCATTCTTATCGTGCCTCTGAATATTCATTTTTTTTTTTCAGGAGCTGAATGAAACAGGGACTCTTTCTGGGCTATAGAAATGCTTATCGATTTCCAGTGTTTGGGAAGCAAAGCTTTTTTTCGTACTATTGGCCCCTAGGTATGCTTTCCGTATTAATGCAGCTGTTTAGGTAAAAAAAGAAAAACCTTAGAAACTGAAGTTTATTGTTTTGGTATTCTTTTGATTTAATCATCTTGCTGTAAGAACATAATATTGAGTGTATTTGAGGTTTATTAGTAAAGTAAGATGATGTAAAGATTTTTATACGTCTCTAACAATCGTGTTTATTAGTGGTATTGGCCAGCTGGCTCTTGTTGCCCCACCTATAGCTTCCTTTTAACCAGAGAGCATGCATTATTATAATAATTATATTGAACTTCTGAAGCTTGTTGCCTGGTGAGACTAGGAAGGTGATCAGAGGTTGAGATTTAAGACATCCTGGCTGTTAAGTAACAAGAGCTTATGGAAACAGGGTTAAACAAGGTGTAGAGGCCTTTTCCCTGAGTTAATGTAGAATTAGAGATTGGGCCAGAAAGACTGGAGAGGATAAATGGGTCATCTAAGACTCAGTATTGGAATAGGGCCCTAGCAAGCTCAGGTATAATTCAGGCATTTAATTGCTATCAAGTAGTCCCATCTAGCAGCTGGAAGCCAGCAGTGAGGCATTTGGAGAATTCCAATCTGGAAGTCAGCCTGGTTCATTCTTGGCATTAAGGAGAACCACTTTACACAGGAGGCTCCTGGAGAGTAGATGGCAGGTGTGAGGATCAGGATTCAGCCCAAGGAAGTAGGATCAAAGGAGCCTTTAGCTCTTGCTGAGGTATAGTGCAAGTCTTCTGCTTTAGAAAGGAGTAACTGGCTGGTTGCTAAGGAGGAGTATCATAGGGTTACCTCCTAGACCACCTGCTGTCCCTCTCTCCATTGGTGTGCTAGAGCTGGCTCACACTGATTTGCAAGAGCCAACTGTTAAATTTTTAGGAACTTTGAAAGACAGTTGTTAAACCACTGATAGTTTAAATCGGCCATAGTGAGAGTGTTTATGCCACAGATATTGGCAAATGCTATCAGTCAGCTCTCCTATTCTGAGAGTTAAATATTTACCAGCAACCACTGCCTCCCTTCCTCAAATGTATTCTCATTTACCAGTGCCTACAATATAATAGGTACTTCAGGAGCACTGGAGATGGGAGTGGTGCTGAGGTAGTTGATGTTATATGATTCAAGGACTCATGCCTGTAACCTGATACCTGTTTCAGGGTCTGCTTACCATTGGCCAAAACGAGGTACCAGATTGGGAGAATAAATCTTAATTCCAAACCCTTCTTTAAATTCTTTCGGCTGCAGTCACTTTAAAGGTGGGTGGCTTCAGTGGCCTCTACTAACAGGTATTGATACTAAGTTCAGCAAAGTTATCAGTTCATATCAAAGATGTGCATTTGAATTATAATCAGTTCCTAGATTGAAATAATAAAGTACTTTTCATTTAAAAAAATATATATGTAGACAAATGTGGAACCCAATTTTAGTAGATGAAGTGTAGAGTGAAGGTTATGGGCCAGATTCAGTATAGAGGATTACATGTGGGAGCAAAAATGATTACATACCTTCTAAGGAGCATCCTTTCCATGATATTCTTGTGGATGCCTTTTCTTACACAAAAAGCACCTACTTGGGGGGCCAGCCTGGTGGCACAAGCGGTTGGGTGCGCGCGCTCCGCTCCGGTGGCCCGGCGTTCACCGGTTCGGATCCCGGGCACGCACCAACACACCGCTTGTCGAGCCATGCTGTGGCGGCGTCCCATATAAAGTGGAGGAAGATGGGCATGGATGTTGGCCCAGGGCCAGTCTTCCTCAGCGAAAAGAGGAGGATTGGCAGATGTTAGCTCAGGGCCAATCTTCCTCACACACACACACACAAAAAAGCATCTACTTGGACATTTACACTTTCCAAATAAAGAGTTATCAATATAAATTATGTTTCCTAAAAATGAATTTAGTGATTTGGAGAATTTGGTCAGAAAGCAAGTAGTTAAAATATAATGTCTAAAAAGAAAATACAAATAGTATTTATTGAGTACTCTGTGCCAGGCATTGTCCTAACTGCTTTCTTTTTTTTTTTTTACATTTTATTTTATTTTATTTTTTTTAATTTTTTGTTTATTGCAGTAACATTGGTTTATAACATTGTAAAAATTTCAGGTGTACATCATTGTACTTCTATGTCCTAACTGCTTTCAATGCATTATCTCATTTAATTTTTATAACAACTCTATGGTAAATGTTATATTCTCATCTTACAGATGAGGAAACTAAAGTTTTGAGAAGTTAAGTAACTTGTCCAAGGTCACAGAGCTAGCAATAAAACAGAGCTAAACCTCAAAACCAAGATTTGTTGGACTCCTGAGTCTGGTCTCTCAACCTGCGTGGATCCCTGGAGAGAGAAAGATGTGAATCCGCAGTTCTCTCAGTCAGCCTCCATTGTCCCCCTCCAGACCATACAAGTGGTTCCCTTTCTGTTTTCACTGGTGAATTTCTATATGTTAAATGTGTCCATGATGTGACTACACAGTACAGCCTCTCTTGGTAGTATGACAAACCTGCATTCAATTTCTAACTCTCTCATTTACAAGATGTGTACCTATCTCATAGGGCAATTGTGAAATTGAAAAGAGATAATTCATGAAAGTATTTAGCATTGAGTCTAGCAAGTAGTAGGCCCTCATAAATGTTTGCTACTACTACTTTCGCTGTTATTTTTGTATAGTGGAAAAATTACTAAACTAGAAAGCAGAAAGCCTGGGATTTAATATTGACTCTGCTGTTAATTAGCAGAGTGATCTTAGCCAGGCAGTTTACTTCTTTGGGTTTCTGTTTCCGTATATGTAAAATGTGATGATTATAATAGATATCAACAAGATCCATTCCAGTTCTAAAGTCTTATCATTCTGTAATTTGGAATTCATCTCCTCACAGTCACCTTTCTAAAAATATTTAAACTATACTGCTTTGTCCTCAGGAAGTTGACATCTGTAAGCCACTACCCTATCAGATTAAAATTTATTTTGACTTGTTTTAAAGATGCAACTTTTCTTTTGATATTCTAGTAGAGCACTAATTAGTTTATTCACTGTTTTAAATACATAAATTTTATGAAATGTTAATGAAGGGGCTGGCCCCGTGGCTTAGCGGTTAAGTGTGCACGCTCCGCTACTGGCGGCCCCGGTTTGGATCCCGGGTGTGCACCGACGCACCGCTTCTCCAGCCATGCTGAGGCTGCGTCCTACAGACAGCAACTAGAAGGATGTGCAACTATGACATACAACTATCTACTGGGGTTTTGGGGGGAACAAAAAAAGGTGGAGGATCGGCAATAGATGTTAGCTCAGAGCCGGTCTTCCTTAGCAAAAAGAGGAGGATTAGCATGGATGTTAGCTCAGGGCTGATGTTCCTCACAAAAAAATACATAAATAAAAGTTAATGAAGTTATTTTTTAAAAACTGATCTGGGAAATTTCTCTTTTAAATTGGTCCACTCGAATGAACTATCCAAGTCCCATTACCAATTTAGTTATCCAGAAACACTTCATGTAGCACTTTTCCATCCTGAAGAAAGCACTGTTCCATAGCCAGGATTCTTTTGAAGCCCTGAAATAGTAACCAAGTGGGTGAGAAAAATATGAATGGCTGTAATGTTAACATTCCTGGGGAGGAGGAGCAATCAGGTGGACTTTGCCAGTTCCATTTCTGGATTCTAAAGTGATGGAGGAGTCATTCCAGTGTCTTAACTGGAGAGACAAAAAGGGGTATCACCATGAGGCTAACTTTCTAAGAAAGGTCAAGGAAAAGTTAAAGGCATCATAAGTTAAAAATGAAAGAAGTAGCATATTATGTCCTTCTGCAGCATTCATACTTTCTCTCTTGATATTAAAATTAATCCTTTTCTATATGGTAACTGAAGTGGCAACCAATCAATAGCAGTTTTAGCATATATGTGCATCTCAATGATTGCCCCATTTCAGACATGCCTGAGGTTGTTAGGGAGATAGTGGGTTTTCTTTTTTGAAAGGACAAAAACATTTGATTGTTAAAAAAATTTTAGCACAGGCGCCAGTCCAGTGGCATAGTAGTTAAGTTCACGTGCCCTGCTTCAGCAGCCCGCCCACCTGGGGTTCACGGGTTCGGATCCCTGGCGCAGACCTACACACCAATCATTAAACCATGTTGTGGCAGCAGCCCATATACAAAGTAGAGGAGGACTAGTACAGATGCTAGCACAGGGCCAATCTTCCTCACAAATAAAAAAAAAAAAAATCTAGCACAACGTGACTTGTAATTGTTTACTGTTTTCTAGGCAAGTCATAAACCATTATTACATTTGCTCATGTTCCTTTATATAGAAATCATTTGGAAGAAAAAGTAAACAAAGGATTTTTGTTTCACTCTTTCAAAAGACATGTTTAGAGGATAATTTTCCAAAAAATCGTAATTCTTATTTAATATAAAATGAACATGTCAAAGATTTTATTAGACTCATTAATTAATAAAGGAATGAGGAAGAATGTTAGAAAACAATTCATACACAGGAGATCTCTAAGACCCTGGTTATCTCGGAGACCTTGATTTTCTAATTTATTAGGGACCTAAAAATGGTAGGAACCACCTGACCATTGACTTTATTCATTCATTGTTAAAGCATGGCTCTGGGTGAATCTAGAAACATGGAAATATTTTTAATATTAAATTATGAAGATTTGGTTTCA